CTCCCCCTCCCCCTCTAAATCTGTGAATTCAGCCATCAGCTGTTTGTCACCCTTTTCTTGTTTGGAGCAACCACAACTTCAGTGCTCCATTTCTATGCGTAAGAGTTGCTACTGGGCAGGGCACAATATGGGAGGCATTAACATTTGGGAGTACTCTGACAGCATGCATCCCTTGATTGAGCTCTGGCTTTAATGGCTAACATTCCCTCCCTAACTTTGGCCTGCTTCCTGGGGGTGGGAGATAGTAGGAAACTGACTGGCTCCATGGCTCCTTGAGATTGACTGGGTGAGGGGCTATGATAATCTACCATTGTTAGGGTCCTCTTCACAGGTGGCTCAGGATGATTGGTGTTTGCTGATACTTCTCTTGCTGGTAAAATCCCACTGCCAGCTGTATAGCCCAGAACATCTTCCACTTCAGGACGATGGTGGCCAGCTGAACATAGTGTAGCATGGTTTTTGGTACAACCCCACTTCCCTTGTTGTGTGTAGTGACCTCATTAGGCTGCTTTTTCATGGCTTTCTCCTTGTTTGCAGTGGAAGCCCATCTTGTTTATTTTTTCTGCAATCCAGGTCATAATAACATCTCTCTTTATAGACTTTTCATTTGCTCCTATGGTTCATCACTAGTGAGGACCTTGATGAGATGTCTAGTCTCCACATTGCCCCAGTTTGCATGAAAGACTGTTTCAGGAAGGCATCCCAGAGTGTCACAGTTGGATTGTAGATTGTGGATTGTGGCAATGGGAGTGGATGGCCAGCTGCTTTTTCTAAACATGGCTGGGGATCATGGGAAGCTGGCAAGACGTTGTTGCTGTTTTGTAACATCTGTAGATCCCTGGCACTCTTGCCTTGAAGCCTATTTGCAGGAGTGAGTTGCTTGAGGCAGACTGTGTCTGGGTGACTTCCTTCCGCTTGGATGGAATTGATGAAATTTCTGGTGTACCTTTGTCTGGCAGGATGTGGAACATGGGGAGGCTTGTGGGTACTTTTATGGCCCTTGGAAATAGATGGCAGGGCAACTTATTGCCTCCTTGAAGTCCACAGGAGGGTGGCCCTGGCCATCAGGGGGTGGAGCAGTCTTCCCAGGTGAGGCTGCCAGCTGCAGCTTTGATTCCCAGAGGTACTCCTGGGGGTGCTTTGGTTCTTGGGATGGATGGATGGACCTCTCTTCAGTTGTTGCTGTTTGTTGATTTCTGGCACTTCA